TCTCGCGTAACATGGTGCGCGTGATTTGTAACACGAAAACCATAAGCTCGCATTGCGTTCTCAGTTGTGAGCTTGTTTGGTTTTATTTGATCTACTATTTTTTTTTTTTGTAAATAAACAATGGTACGGGAAATGAGACGTTGTTGTAGAAGAGTGATCATTATACATGAGCGAACGAACGAACAGATCGAACAGATCGAGTGAGCATTGAGCTGATAAAAAAATCAATTTTTACTAAACACAATTTTTTGGGAAGCATGAGATGAAAAAAATGAGACGTTTCTTTTAGTTAAAAAAATTTTTTTTTTACTCTTTGGAATGATTGACGTTATATCGTTAATAATTATTATTTTGTATTTATTTCATTAATTTATATATATATTATTTATTATTTTACTAAATATAATTATTTTTCACTATTCGTTCATTGATGTTAAAAATTTTTTTTTGATCTTTCCTTACCTTTTTGGTTTTATTTTTTTATTTTTTATCTACCACATCCATCAACGTGGACAGAAGGCGTTGTTTTATGTAACATTGGTTTGATTTTTCATGCATTGTTCATCTTTCGTCTTGATCACGTATCTTAATTTCGTTGTGTTTGTGATCATTTCATTGACATTTGTTATATTAAGATTATTTTGATTATATTGAGAGATATGGTCAAGAGAAGAGTTAGGAAGAGAGTTATTCTTCAACCAAGTCGAAAACCAACCCTTTAAATACATTTTCGAGTAGTACGATTATTTAATTTATTAGACTGTTTCAATGGTTTGTCGCGTTTTTGCTTCCAACTTTTTAGATTCGTTAACGAAATGATTGTTGGTGAAGTGATTGTTGACAAAATGAATCAAACCCATATCTATTTTCTACGTTATCAAATTCACGATTTTAATTGGTCAATAAACAAATTGCGTTGGTTAAAAATTGTGTGTTCCCAGAACGGTCTCTCCTGCTCGCTTGCACATCCTCGAATACAAAACTTGTTATGATTTGAATCCTTACTTTTATTAATTAATATAATAACAATTCATCACAACCATCAATCTTGTAATCAGCACCTACCTGTCTATATTAATAATATTATTATTACATAATAAACGATTTGAATGATCAAGAAAATTCCAAGAAAAAAAGCCAATTTTATTTTTAAAATCCGTTATTGTACAACATTACAAAACGACAGTTTGTCTCAGTTTAATTCGTAGTTATAATAAATATACAAACTTATATTTAACTTTACTTTACTGTGCTTAAAATCAAATGTTTCGAATTACCAATAAAAACAGTTTGATAATATATTCTATTTATATGATATTTGTTAAAGAACAATTAATCAGAAGAAAGCGACGGGATAAAAAAAACCCCTTTAAAAAAAAAAAAAAATAATAATTCATTAAATAAATAAATAAATTTAGAATGAATTATTTGCAATTAATTGATAGGAGAGGAGAATTTTGATCGATCGTATGACCTTATTTATTACCTTGTTCTCCCCAAAAATAAAATTTTTTATTTTATTTAAAGTTGCTTATGAATAATAAGTGTGTAACATTGAAAATACAAAAAAAAGATATTGATGGATGGGAAAAGAAAAAATTGCGCACCCAAAACGTAATAAAATAAAATAATGACACATTGTTTTTAATGTTTATTATTTTAAACAGCATATAAAAGGTCAAATTAAAGAAATGGACAAAGTAATGTTGTTTCTCATTAATCAATACTTGGTTCCTAATAATCTAGTTTTTAAAAGAGTTTTCTGAAGAAG